ATTATCTATGTAAACAAACCTCATCACTTGAGAAGGTAGGTGATGGACGTCGTGGAAGACATTTTGTCCCGTAACGCTCGCCGTACTGTTGGGGGGGAGAGCGGTGGGGGGGAGATGTTCATGTTGCTGCAGTCTGACCGCTAGATGTCGCTAAAAGTTACACACTGTAGCTTTAAAAACAATCCACTGTTTTTTGTTTCCAAGTTTGAAGACGTTTCACTTCCTATCCAGGAAGCTTTATCAATTCAAAATGTCAGAAATCGCGTTGAACGCTGAACGCTATTCCTGACATTTTGAATTGAAAAAGCTTCCTGGATGGGAAGCCAAACATCTTCAACCTTGGAAACAAAAACCAGTGGATTGTTTTTTACTTTTTTTGGAATGACTATGACCTGGATGACTGAGAATCTTCACCAGCAATTTTTTATTTTTATTTTTTTTTTTTTTTTGAGAAAATATCCTAAATTTGTGTTTCAGTTACCGTCTAACTGGGCTTCCTGTGGACTACCAGCTGAAAAACATCTCCAGCCCAGATGTGACCACCCTGCTGCTGGAAGACCTCATCATCTGGACCAACTATGAGATTGAGGTGGCGGCCTACAATGGGGCGGGATTGGGCAGCTTCAGCCATAAAGTCACAGAGTGGACCCTCCAAGGAGGTACAGTACTGATCAAAACCTACATTTTGCCCTGAATATAGTGACCTTAAAGTTTATTAGCTGAATCCCATAATGTTGGGATATCTGATGAGCAATTGAGGAATACAATGTAAGGCATTAAGTGACAAAGTTTCTTAAAATTACTTTGAATAGAGTAAATCTAAGTCATTTTTTTCTTAAAACAGGTGCATTTTATCCTGGTTTGAGGAGATAAATGAGACACTTTGCCAATGGAACAAGGCAATTTACATTTGAAATAAGAAAAATCAAAGCATTGTCTTATGTCAAGTAAATATTATCTAATTAAATTATTTTAAGTGTAAAAATACTCATCCCATTGGCAAACTGTCTTATTTACCTGCTCAAATTAAGGGTAAATACACTTGATTTAAGAAATATTTACTTAATTTCAGATTGTTTTTGCAGTGCAGGTGCCAGGTCCGTATATCCACGCTCCAAAAAACGATCTAGAAAATTTTTTAAAAATAATTAAGTGTATTTTTTCCCTGATTTGAGTAGGTAGATAAGATGATTTGCTAATGGAATGAGTTCTTTTTTTTTTATATTAAAATAAGATAATTAGATAACATGCACTTAAAATAAGACAATGCAATTGTTATTTCTTATTATAAATGTGAATTGTCTTGTTCCATTGGCAAAATGTCTCACTTACCTCCTCAATTCAAGAACAAATGCACTTATTTTTAGAAAAAAATTACTTATTATGATTGATATTTTTTGCATTGCAGCTTTGTTTTTGTTTTTTTCACGTTTCCATCAACGCGCTTAACTAAAGATTTTAGTTGCAAACCAGCTTATTTAACTATTGTGACTTAGCTTACGTCAGGAGGGATGCCATGTCACATGTCTAATCACTTACCTATAAAGTGATCGAAACACAACATTCACTATCTTTCATTAGTTGCATGTAATATTTTACTGAATTACTGAAATTATTCCCAAAGTATTAAGATGGAATTTTACAAAGAACCCACGTTGGATAGCTTGTTTGTGATAGTACAGTAGTAGCCATTCAAAATTTCCCCACTTTCCTTGTTCCTTGGCCTCGTCCCCTAAGATTCCTTTTTTAAAACTTCAATCTTTGTACTTAAATATTCGTTCTGTCATTATTTGTAGACATTAAGATCTAAAGAGAAGCTTCATCTCCTGGTGAGACCCTGTAATTTAGTGAAAGGAGAAAGAGGGGGTGACTCAAACGGGCTGCCATTCCGCTGGCATTTGACTGGAAAGGGCTATTTCGAATTAGCCTCGTGAGACCATCCTGATCTAGCGAGCTTTCAAGATTTCACTCGCAGATCAGTCTGGAGACTCTCCGTTAAAGAAAATTTGGAGCCGTTTACCATACGAACGTCCAATCAGCGTCGGCTTTGAGGCGGGTTGAGGAGTGACGCAACGAGGAG